TTGAACATTAAAACATCTAAACCTATTGTAGTAGAGCCACAAAATACAATTATGAACCTGAAAAGGGGCATAATATGTCTCCTTTAAGTTGGTATGGTGAACTTTTTAGAAAACAGCTGCATATTTACACATCCAGTAGTTACGGAGCAACATTAGCTTTCATTTAGAGTTGTATTTGTGTCCACCTATCAAATATAAGTGCAACATTCACTCTCTTTTAGCTTTGTTTTTGGTCTCTACCAGCTCCTGAGGGAAATATCTGCTTCATTAGCTGCCAAATGTTCCACCCCCACTTGTCAGAGCCTCAGACAGAAGCAGTGAGAGAAGTTAGGCTCTACCTAAATCTTCTTTCAGGGAAAACTGAAATCCATTTTCTGCATTTGCTGCAATATTCCATGTATTTGTATTGGCAGAGCTGGGGTTATAAAGTTTGAATACTAATTGAATGACCTGTGGGGCATCTAATTACCTCTAAACAAACAGAAAGCCAGATTGAAAAGTATGACCTCAAAAAATGCTGTTTCTCATCTAAAAGTGGTACCGCTCAACTGGACCGGTATAAAGCTATTGAAAATTGCAATTTCAGTTTCACCATGCATTCAAAAAGGATTTACAGACCATGAAAATGTCTGGTCTAGTCCAAACAGTACACAAATACACATAATTGTCTCACAGCTTTTTTTCTTTATCTGACAGGACGCCCTGTATTAACAATGTCCACCCAGTAAACACGTATTCACTTTCTACATGTCTCTCTTTGGAATGAATTAAACCCCATAATCGACAGTGTTAACAAAATAATGTTTTTTTCAACATAACTCTTGAGCTCAAAGGTTCCCTTGTGTTTGTATGCATGTGGGATGAAAATCATATTGAACAACAAAGTGTTACAATTACTGAGCTATATCCAATTATATAATATGAACTAGCTATTTCTGACTGATGGCTGGGCCATTTAATCTAAACCCTCTGGTTACGTGTTTTGTATGTTTTATAGAACTGAAGCATATGTTTTTGGTTTCACAATAGGCTCTCTGGTTTCTGTTGAATGTGCATGCAAAACCTGTGAAACAGTTAACCCAGCAGAAAAGCTCCCTCCATACATGTTGTACATCATTATTTGTGGTAGGCATTTGTGTTGCCTAAAACCAGTAATTAAATGGCAAATAATATGCTTAAATAGACTCACACCACAACAGCAAGCCTCTGAACTGGATTTGATAGATGATTTTCTTTAACAATGTGGTGCCGTGACCCAGATAGCAACGCACTTTCACAAAGACTTTTAGAGGTAGGGGGTCTTTTTGAAAACCCAGTTATTATTGCTGTGTGTTCTCTGTGAAGCTGAAGAAGTTGACACCATATATGTTTGGGAATACTTGAATTTTTTAAAATTAGGATTTTGACCTGGTTGTAGTGGTAATGCTCTTCCTAGCTATACAATCTGATTGACTCGCTCTTCTTAGGGTTTTAACAGTTCAACTAGCAAAAATAGCTAGCTATTTAAATTGTGTGCTGCTGCCAATAGCCACGAAGTCAGTAAGGGTCTAAAGCCATCTGCAAGCACGAACTGAACTAAGATTATTACAGGTACATACCGAGTAATTCAGTAATTGGAATTTGGCACTGGAACTAAATGTTGTACGTTTATACAGATTACGATACCACCATACAAGAAATAACCAATTGCCAAGACATTACATAACCCTGTCATCACTGGTTTATTAGGGGCAATAGGTTATTTAATTTTTGGATTTGTCTTGCTTGTTTTTTTTAATCATGGCTGTTATTAGTCTCCTGATCATCTGTCTCAAGTCTCTTTGAAAAGCATGTATCACTTGAACCACCACTTAAATCATGTACTCCAATATAACGCAACCAGTTCCACCATAAACAGGAATACTCAGTTTTTTTCAAAATTGAAATTGATTATGAGTGAGTGATTTTTTTTTTTGTGTGGATTGATGAAGAATACACATTTGAATAACCTTATACTTGTATAATTCTGGGAGCCCCTTCCTACCCCCTTGATCCTCCCTCTACACTTTGATCACTATTTATATACTGTCTGTTGTTTAACTGTATAAAAGTGCTTCCCTGCCATTGCATCAGATACGCCCGCTCTGTGTTCACCAGTGTTCACCAGTGTGTAAGCACACTTCAATAAACTCACACCACTGCATTAAACCTCTGAACTGGACTTGAATTATTGGACTCTACAGCAATTAATAAGCTCTACAACAGGATGACAGTGTCTATAAACCGAACATGTGGATTTTGGACAATCAAATTTTAAATGGGAGACAACTCAATACCCGTCAGCGCTAAATTCTTAACATTAAACCTAAAATTATTAAAAACCTGCTTCTGAGGCACATTCTTAAAGACATTATATTGATTTCTAGTAGAGCTAACAAATGGAAAGTAATCAATGGTGGTTATCCTCAAGCAGTCCTACAAGACGATTTGACAGTGTGACTCACCAAAGCGGGGGCGTTGACCACAGAGAGGTTGTAGCCGTAAATGAAAGATGATCCCAGGGCACCAAAGAAGGCTGCGCTCAAAAGACAGGCTGTGACTGGCTGCTAAGGACACACATAACATGACACAAAGGTTCATACTGGTCATACAAATACACACATGTTAGAGGCCTTGTAAGAGGCCATCACATTTTATAAGGAGTACGGTCTATACCTGCTCTATTTGTAAAGTGTCCTGAGATAACTTCTGTTATGAATTGGCGTTATACAAATAAAACTGAATTGAAAATTTAAACTGAACAGTGCAATTTCAAGGTCGGATTGAAACCAAGGGCATTCAGCAGAGGTTGTTTCATATAGGCCCAGGTATCTAGGCCAGGAAACTGGGTTATTCACGTCACTTTACACTTTATTGTTCATGGTGATGTGAGCATGATGTACTTGACATTGAGGACATGGAGCAAAGAAAGATTATTATAATAATATACAATACAATATACTGTAGCTATCACAAATGTTATGCTACTACGGAGACACATAACTAATAATTTACAAAGAATAAATGCCATTGCAAAGACAAAGCTTGTTTATTAAATTAAGGATGCTGTGATTGGATAGAGCAAGGGCAGAAATAAATCATGACAAAACTAAAAGTGTGAAGACCCACAAGCAGTTGATTTAATCCCATTATACAAAAGAGCCAGACAGAACAAAAAACAGCCACACCACTAACATCATAAAGTTTGCCCTACAAGCGGCACAAGAGAAAAGGCCACAGTGTCATGAAATTCAAGCCATTCATATACCTTTGAGAGAATGAACGTGCTGAAATTCTATGTCACTGTGCCAATTAGATTATGAGATATACTGTGTGCAAAGTTGACATTTAGGCCGGAAGATGGTGGAGAGCATTAACAGAATGGGTTCATACATATATGGGGAACATAAATGTGTTTTTTTCTTGTCAATCTTTCATTCGATTTTCATATACTGGTTGAACATTTGGCCTGGTATGACTAAAATAAAGGTCAAAAGTTGACCAGAAACACTCGGGATCATCTTCTGGGGACTAATATTCAAATTCCATTGCAATGTGGTCAGTGCTGTTGTATCTTGCTACTGACCAAACTGTTGCCCATGTTTTGGCCAACACAAACTAGTAAAGATTTTTAATACCAAATGTGTACAATGTTAAGCATTTGGAACACGAATAAGACGCATTGTAATCAGATCACTCAAGCCACTTGCCGAGGTGGTCTGAGACACATTTGACCACATATCTTTTGTAGTGTAAACGCTTATCTGTCCTGGGCCACTTTGAAGGACCGCCTATTCAACTGATGTCCTGCAAGCACACACTGTCTATTCGGTTCACTGTGTCTCTTACCTGTCGAGACAAGCAGCAAATGTTTGTGAACAAACAGTTTCAAAGGGAAACAGGATAAACGTTGTAAACTTTGTGAATTGCTGCCTATGATAAATTCTTCATTATTTGGGCATTCTTGTAGCCGTGTTATGTTTGTGTTAATACGTGACATTTTTTCTTTCTGTGTAAAACAACACTGTGCTTGTTGTCCCAGTGTGGTGACTGTTACTGTTGGGCTGCCAGTTTAAAACAACAATGCATTTTGTCTTTGCAAATGAGATTAATGTACATGTGCATTTGCATACAGAGTGGGGAAGTGAGATCTGATTGATTGATTGATCTGACTAGTCGTCACTCGGGACGCATGTGGAGACGCATTCTAATACCAGGTGTAAACTGATATACTTAACTCTCCCCACTTGTGAATACTTACTCAAATTAAACTGATTTTAATTTAATTCTAGCGGCATAGCTCAAGGAATAACAATTGTCTGTCGGTCCACCACTTTTGTTCACACAAAAATATCTAATATCTATAAACTATTGTATTGTCACAACATTTTATACAGACATTCACAATCTCCAGAGGATGAATCCTCCTGATTTTTGTGATGCCCTAACCTTATCTCTAGCAGGAAGTTAGTTGACATTTTTGGCTTTTAGTGCAATGTATTAACAACTATTGGACAGATTGCCACAGCATTTGGTACAGACATTCTTGTCCCTCGCAGGATGAATTATAATCAGTTTGGTGATCCACTGACTTTTCCCCTGGAGCTACAATCTGGTCAGAGCGGTAATTTTGGTTCCGAGGCTGTACCTAATGCCAATCAGGCAGTCAGAGCTGAATTTAAATTAGACACAATACAAATAATTTAAATTATTAATTCACAAATTATTTGCACAATATTCTTCTTGGCCTGTATATTATCCTTACAGTATCATCTAATAGTGGTTAAAAATAGCCCTCAACCCAGCCATACACTGTGCAATTGTAATATTTTGCAAAAAATGTGGACACAGTACATTTCCTATTTGGTATATGGTATGGTTTTCTTCAGTTGTTAATGCACAAATGATATGCACACAAACAGTTCACTTATGCAGTTTTCTCCTTTGTTTAGCTTGGATTAAAAATCAACACACATTTTTATTAACAAGATAAAGTGATATTAAAATACATATTAAACTTTTATATAAGGTTATTAATTCAATTCAATTAATGCATTCATTTTGGTTAGTTACAGCATTTTGAATTTACTAATAACATTTTCCAATTTCCTAATAACACATTTAATGTTTCTATGAGGGAATGTCTAAGTTTGTCCAGGGCATTGGTGGACTCGGAAAAAACGCCCCAAATGTGACCTCTTGGAAGCCCCTATGTTAAAAAACTACGATGGACAAACTTTTTTATCTCTTATTAGTTTTTTGGCACTGGCCCTCCAGTCCAGAGTCCACCACTGCTCCAGGAGGTTTGGGGTGTCTGTTTGTTGCACACAGTGGTCAGCCAATGAGATATGAAGATACTGCCAAACTGCAGGAAAGCCCCTTTCATCAATTTTAAAAGTACATTGAAAAAAAGGAAATGTTACATAGGGAAAATGTAAAATAGATAAATTATGAAACATCTGCTAGGATAAAGAAAATAACAAAAATAAAAATTCCAGCAAAATATAAAAGGAAGAGTTCAATTAATTCATGTTAAATTTATTTTATAAATTATACATTCATACATTTATAAACCAACTGTTTGGAGATAAAGAAAAAAAATGTTGGCAATCAATCTACCAGTAAATTATTAAACTGCATTTTTTATTCATGTATACAGTTCTATTTCTCACTCATCGTGACATTTGTATCATCTAAGGCTCTTTTATGGAGAAGAGATATACCCCTCTCACACCTCACACACACGCATGTCCAACATGACAGCAGTTTGTGCATCTATGATTTCTATTCATCACACTCCTACTGAGAAAGTAGGCAGGTATAAATATAGGTGTATGAATATACATCAGTTTGATAAAGGAGTTTTAGCTGATGTTTTAATGTAAATGTTACAATACCTCCATTAAGCGCCTAAAGAAATTGTGTTTGTCTGTATAAACATAAAGTAAATGTAACTATAAAAGTTAAAAACTGTTTTATTGAGTTATTGAGCGATTTATTGGGTGCCAATGGTGTACAGCAACATTAGTACTTTGTTGTTGTTGCTGAGTTGGCTCAGTTGTGTGGCGAATAAGATGGGTCAGTAACTGAACAGATTTAAGCTGTATGGAAAGTTGTGGTACCTTGCTCAGTTGGCACAGCTCAAACCTGCAGTCTAAGATCGTACTTTGGAAGATTAGAAACCAACTGGCAGTGTTATCTTTGAGTAGTGGTTTGCGCAGTAGGAGGCTGTCAATAAAATGGACAGTGCCAGGGCGGTTAGATCAAAGCTAGAGCTCTAATGTTTGCATTGCCAGTAGTGGTGAGGGAATTGGATCAAGTGAGTAGAGTGCAGGTCACATTTCAACAAAGCAACAAACATGTTTCTTTTCTATGATTTTCTGTGTGCAGATTATTAATAAATCTTAATTAATGAATCTTAATCTTAAGTAACAATGTGAACAGAAAGATAATTCTACATATAAAACAGATTATACATTTTTACAGATAACCAGGACTGAATCCTAACATTTGTCTTTATTTTTATATTACTGAATATTAATCAATCATCTTTGAAACATATGTCAAAGGTGATCACTTTATGTCATCATCAGTACAGATTTTACTATCACTTAAATCTCTTTCTATGTGATTGGAGCACAGATTCAAGCAGTGCGAACCCTCTGTTTCAGCAACAGCTCAAAGCCTCACATAGCAACAGCACAGAAAGTTGTCTTATGTGTAAATTACAAAGGTCATGTACATATGACTGTACCCTCACAAATACATCCTGGCCATACCTATCATAGCAAATAATTAGTTAATGTGTGACGTAACAGGCAAATAATAATAACATGTCAAAAAGCTGTGACGTACACAGTGCTATCAGGAGAGGAGTCAAACCAACCAAATTTCATACATCACACAAATGTAATCATTTGGCAGCTGTAAAGTCATAAAGATATAGACTTGGCCATAGTGTTTTCAGTGACACTAACCTTTTCAGAGTTCTTCCCAGAGTCGCTCATCTTGTGGTCAGCCGGGATTTCCTTCTGGGGTTTGTCCATGTTAACGTTTCAGCACCCTTAAATGAGAAGGTCATATCATATAAGACATCTAGCTGAAGCATGATAAAGCAAGGCAAGACACATTTCACAAGAAAGAGGGAAGTGGAATTTATTATAGAGTGAAACATCTGCTGAAGAGGAAATGACAGTGCCTCAGTCTGCTGACATGCAATGCAGACCCAGTACAAGAAGGATTATAGGTCAGAACATGGTCACAAGTTTAGGATTTACACAATAAGACAAAGGCAAACAAGACAAATCCGTTTTCTAGAATGCATGAAGCTGTGCCTTATATAAAACTCTTACCAGCAGCACCTTGACTACAGGTTGAAGCATTGGGTTATTTCTCAATTTACTCAACACAATGTAACAATGGTCTCGATTTGAACTGCAGTACGGGACTCCACAATGGCGTTCAAGTGCAATAGATAGCAAATTAAAAGCCTGAGGCTGACACCTAGTGGTTATACGAGTAGTAACACTCAGAAATACTGGACTGCTGTCATCCTTGTTTTAAAAAAATGCAAAATTTGTATAAAATCTGGTGGTCTCCAAATTATTGTTAATGTATGCCAAGGTATATTTTTAACCAAACACAATTGGTGTAGGGCATTGGACTGTGGGATGTATTTCAAGTTACAAGTCTGTGTTTTATGTCATTTGTCAAAAACGTTTAAAACAGAGGTTTAGGGCCTTCACCTTTGAAACAAAAATAGGACAACATTCAAGCACTTTACACTTTCCTATCCCACCACACAGGTGATAACTTTTAATAGTATTCAGTCTGCTTCCAGACTGTAAATGAGTCTCTGATTGAATGACTAGAATTAAAACCAGCATGACTCTGATTCCTGAAGAGCAGGATTAAAATCCACAGCTGTGGAGTAAATTTGATTCAACTGAAGATGCATGACGGATCAAATACCTGTAATCTAACCTTCCCTTACTACAACTTTTTGATTAAACCACTCCTTTGATGTTCGGTCAGTAACTCCCATTACTGAGATGGTTGCTGAAGTTCTTAAAACATTAAATGTAATTTATTCCAATGGCAGTTCAACCTGGATGATTTTTTATTTTAGGATGTAGATCCAGAGCTTTCAGAGACTTTCTTGCAGCCTAAATTCCTGTAAAGCCACAACCGAATCAGTCAAAACTGTTTACTTAACAATTTGTCCTTCCTATTTAGGCTCTATTATCAATCAATTGAATCAGTTTTGAACTTTTTTCCATCAGCAGATCAAACTGTAAAGTACATGTAAACAAGAGTGTTGCCCCAACCACCGAAAGTCCAAACACAAGACTGGAAACTGCATCCAGCATTTTCAAAGTGATGAACAACTCCATTGGTTCAAGAACTTCTAAATCCAAGAAATGACTAATGCCTGAGGCTGTAGTATTGTATTCATATAACAACAGTACACAGTGATAAAAAAGCCTATAATTTGATGTATAATGTGTTGAGAAGTAAACAAAATGTCATCTTCCATCTATAACTCAAACCTGTCTGAAGATATTTGGGTGATATGGTTGAAATCATTGTGATGATTGGATTAATTATCTTCTGGTATTGTTTTAGATTAAGTTGTGGAAAATGTACACAAAATCACATATTAGTATGCATGCATCATGATATGAAATGCAGTGAGATCCAAATCTGTATTGATAATCATTAATTTGGATAACATAAACTTATTAACTTGATAAGATGATAAGGTGCTATTATGTAATGCAATATAAAGTCAATAAATTATATTAAACTACCCAGCCCTGCAGCTTACTTATACTATTACACATTGTGCAGCAGATAGTTGTTGGTTTTATTCAAATATAGAGACTGTAGTGATTGGTCAAGGGATTATTATTGTATCAACTTCTTTTTGATATTATGTTTCCAAAACTATTTTTCTCTGCCCAAACAATGCAAACAATAGTCAATACATTTATAATTAGTAAATATAAGTAAATGCGTTTTCACTACCTTAACTCTAAAAATAATTTTAAAAAAGCAAGCTGGTTGTAACAAAAGCCTTCCATTACAACACACCACAATGTAGCAAATAATGATACACAAATCCTATGTGCACAACTAAGTACGTCTACAGAGGAACAGCCCGCATAAACAAACTCCTGTGGATGAAAGCTGAAAAAAAAACCTATACAGTAAAATACCATGACACTGAGGATAATGGTAACTGTGTGAGAAATATCACTGTGGGTGTACTTACTTTACAGGCTGTGTATCCAATGACAACAGGAAGACTACTGACCCCACATTACCTAATAACACTGAGGAATGATTAACTTTGATGAGTCCCTCCCTCCCTCTCCGTGTCTCCTATCTCTCTTATGTCATCATCAAGTCTGAGGTCAGCTACAGTACAGTGAACTACATATTTGCATTATGATTGTATTTTGTAACTACCAGCTCCAAGCTATCTACGCCACCACTATATGTTAAATATAACTAGTTACTCTATTGAAGGTATTACAGCAGCAGTTAACCAAATTAAATTAGGTTAACGTGCAAAAATGTACTTGTCCTTAAAGAGCTCATGGGTCGTATTACTATAGAAATAGAGCATTGGTTTATTCAGCATGGTGGTCCACAGTCTATCATTGTAAAGGGAGAACCTTTAGTGGGTTTAATAACACAAGCTGTTAAGTAACCATAAAGAAATATTCTACCAGGACCCTGTGACATCACCTGTAGGTGTAGTTGGTTTGTGGACTTTCGTTTTGAAGCCTCGGTTTGACATTATGGCCATTATGATCTTGGATTTACAGATCCCGCAGTCACCATTTCTGGACAGTGCAGAGCTGGTGCGTGACTTGGTTTTTACCAAAAAATGGTGGCCTGTCTGGTCACAAACTTTCTCATATTGCTAAACAGAACACTAAATGCAATGCTGAACTGAATCTTAATTCATGTTTGAGCAGCACTGCCTAGTTTGACAGTTTGATCTCAGTTTAATCCGTTGCTGCAAATGACTTGTCAAACACAAGGTAGTCACGCCCTAAAGCAGACCCTGCTTTATTGTTTATTTTACTCTAAATGGGACCATAATTTATTAAATGAACATATTGCTTTAAGGAAGAAGACTTACATATACTTTTGCTTACTCTATGCCTGATGCATTAGTTTGTAGTTGCCTTTGTGCATAAAACAAGCTAACAAGACAAGCAGTTAAGTCTAATATTCAAATGTATTATACACACTGTATTCAGAGAAATTGTGTTAATATAGCTGACTTTATTTTAAAGAACTCAACCCTGCAACAAATCAGATACAGCGCAGCACTCACTTTAGTGAACTGTACACCAACTTTTCATTGCTAGATGTCTTTCATGGCCAACCATACACAGCTACTTATTATAAATTCTATTCTATTTTCACACAAAAGTGAGTGTCACTGAACTGCTGGACTGGGAGGTGAGTTTAAAATGAAAACCTTTTCAAACAAAGCAGAGTAAAAGCAGTGTCAGTCACAGACCAGGTGTGGCCCACGTGCAGAGAGTTTAAAGACAGTGTTCACCTGCCTTGTGTCTCTTGTTGCTGAAAATCTTCCTTATAACATCTTGGGTCATTTAGTTTAAAAAGGATAAAAGGAATTGTTGATTATTAACTTCTCTGTATGCTCACAAAGTGGACATTACTTTTGAGTCCAAGTTTAAAGACCCTTCTGATAAAATCCAGACTTGTGTAGCCAGAAAAGACTATGTGATCAAATCAATAACGCAAATTGCCAGTTGCCCCATTCAAATACAACATTCAATACCAGGGGCTTGAACAATTAAAAGTGTATCAAATTAGAATATTTCTATTCAACAAAAACAAAAGGATTTGTGACATTGAGCTTTCTTCTTCTTTGTGCAAGTAAACAGCAGTCAGACATGAGGACAGTAGTTGGGTCATCAATATGGAGTGATTGTAAATAAATCCTGGTGCTTACCTTGAATAGTGTGTATGAGATACATCATGCCACTGAGGAGATGAAATTGTAAAGATTTAAATTGCTAATATACAGATAGCATGCTGGAAGACATTCCTGGTTGCTCCTAACATAAAAACACCCATCCAGTTTATCCATGCTGTCCATTGTTCTGCTGCATTCCTTGACAACATGTAAGCATGAGGAACACCCCTAAATCCACAAAACTGGCCAAAGTCCAGAGAAGACATCCCCTAATGAGGTCTTTAGATTCAAGGTAACAACAGAACGGAGCTGCTGGAGTTATCCCACACAAACATGTAGCGCCAAATGCTAATTTCTTGATAAATGGAGTGACGACGCCATTCTAGACGAAGAGAAAGAGGTTTCTACTACTGGCGGAGCTATTGCAGACACACTACAGCTGGTTACATAAAAGCAGCACAAGAGCTTGGTCTTCAATCCCTAAAAAACCCAGTCTCCTCAGGCAGCTTTTTCTCAAATCAATGGCTGCTTTATTCTCTATCTCGTTTCATTCACTGCCGTGGCAGCTATCTATATTACAAACATGTGAGCTACATTTCCGCCATGTGAAAACTGCATGAAAGAGCACCTACAATATCAAAAACATGGGCCAAAAACATGACATATTATGTTTTATAGCTGCAGCACATGGCAGCTCTAAGTGTATGTGGTTTTCTTTGTGAACTGTGCTGAAGAATGTGGGCCAGCAGCTGCCATGGGAAAAAAGATATGGCCAAGTAATGAAACTCTGGCTTGTAAGACGAACACTCCCTCTGGGACATCTTTTCTCAGCCCTGGAGTCTAGGTAACAGTTGTATAATGTTTCCTAGGGTGAGGATGGACCTGTCAGCAGGAAAAAGAATCCACAGACAGACTGTGCCAAACCACTGAGTATCTGAGATGACAAAATGACTTTTGGTTTTGTGAAATATCTGGTAATATCTGATTGCTCTTTTTATATAAAGCACATTTCCAAAATCTTATTCTTAATTTATTCCATTATATATTCCAGACTACATTATGACAGTTACAGCTACTGTATCCTCTTTGTTTCAAATGTGCACAGATACAAAACTATTATATACTGTATTGTTATCTATATTATGTAGCATTG